AAAAAATTGGATTTCACCACTCCTTTACAGCCCCCTCTAAGTGGTTTACAGAGCCAGCATATTGCGCCCTCCCCCCTCACCCAACAATCTGGGTCCTCATTTGACCGACCTCGGAAAGGATGAAAGGCTCAGTCAACCTTGAGCCATGTCAGGATCGAACTGCTGGCAGTCGGCAGAATTAGTAGAATGCAATATGGCATTCTAACCACAGCATGGTAAGCAAAGTAGGTAGGCCCTTAGTACATTATGTGGGTGGAGTTTAGACTGGTTTATTTGTGTCCTTGTTATTCCTGGACTTCTATACAACCTCTCTGTTTGTAAGCACACCTTCTTAATGTTCCAGAAAGCCCATAAAACAGTGTTTCTCAACCTTGGAAGCTTGAAGATGGGTGGACTTCAACTCCCAGAATCCCCCAGCCAGCGCTGCTGGCTGGGGAATTCTGGGAGTTGAAGTCCACCCATCTTCAAGCTACCAAGGTTGAGAAACACTGCCTTAAGACCTGTTATTATCTTCAGGCGTTGGGGTTGGGATATTCTGGGAGCACCACAGATATGTGCGAATTTGTGTCATAGTTCCTCAGTTGTCTTTGGTATTGGATTAACTCTACGTTGAGATGGATAGCATACACCTTTCTATATAAATAAATACAGGTAGTCCTTGATTTACAACAATTCAAGGTTACAGAGGCATTGAAAAAAGTGACCTATGACTGTTTTTCACACTTACGACCATTGCAGCATCCCGATGGCCACATGATCAAAATTCAGATGCATTCTGATTCATATTTATGACGGCTGCAGTGTCCCGGGGTCATGTTGCAACCATCTGATAAGTAAAGTCAATGGGGAAGTCAGATTCACTTAACAACCGTGTCACTAGCTTAACAGCTGTGGCAAGGAAGGTTGCAAAATGGGGCAACGCTCACTTAACAACTTAAGTCTTGCTTAGCACCAAAAAAAATTTTAATTTTTTTTTTTTTACAAATTTTTATTATAGTTCAAAAAAACAAAAACAAAAAACAAATGTATAATAGTTTTTCTATCACGGTGTAACATCACCAAAATATCCATGTATATATACACCAATAATCAGAAAGTAAAAATAGAAACTGTTTACATATTCTTACATACAAATTTACATTTCCAATACTTATTGATTACCATAATTATACCATCATCTATATTTATAATCCAACATTATCCTTTATCTCTCTCCCATCGTTTCTGGATCCAATCATTCCACATGTTCCAACTACTATAAAAATCTGAGTCTCTTTTACCCTTGAGTTTTGTAAGTCTGTCGAACTTCTCTTTATAAGAGGATGCCATAATTTTACCAAATTAACCAAATCCAAATCTCCTCCCATTTTTGAAAATCCAATGAATAACCTATATTTCGCCCCCAGGCAATCATGGAATCTTTAGCACCAAAATTTTTGAGCTCAGTTGTGGTCGTAAGTCGAGGACTACCTGTACAAGATTATAGTTGACAGGTTGCTATCCATCCCAGCCCAGATAAAGAATTTTAAATATTGCCGACTTGCTTTCTCATCAAAAAGTAATACAGTGACCAAAAGTGGAATGTTGGATCTAAATTAAAACCATCTTCAGCTGCATTCACATGTAAGATTTCACCTCATTAGTGATTAACCCATTTTCTTGTAAAAAAAAAAAAAGGGGGGGGGGAATCACAATGTAGCCAAAAATGCTAGGCTACCCAACCCAACAACAACAACAACAAAAGAAAAAACTGCTTAAGCTTCTCGTGTTGGATAACTTCTGTGCCTTTGATTTGGTGAGATGTGCTGTGTGAGCCCAGACATGCCCTACAGAGCGTGGCCAATTTGGATCGCTTCAGTATTATCAAATATTTGCTCTATTTAATCCCTTCTTTAAACTTACTCCTTTATTCACCTCCCTTGACCTTTACATTCTCCATCTCTGCTCATAAAAATGGTAAAGGTAAAGGTTCCCCCGCATATGAGTGCTAGTCGTTCCTGACTCTAGAGGGCAGTGCTCATCTCTGTTTCAAAACTGAAGAGCCAGCGCTGTCCGAAAACATTTCCGTGGTCATGTGGCCAGCATGACTCAACGCCAAAGGTGCACGGAACGCTGTTACCTTCCCACCAAGGGTGGTCTCTATTTTTCTACTTGCATTTTTTACATGCTTTTGAACTGCTAGGTTGGCAGAAGCTGGGACAAGGAATGGGAGCTCATCCCGTTACACGGCACTAGGGATTCGAACTGCTGAACTGCCGACCTTTTGATCGACAAGCTCAGCATCTTAGCCACTGAGCCACTGCATCCATTTTTCTGCTTATATGAGAATGCAACTTTTCATTCATTGATTTGTTTTCTTGCAAGTTATATAGCCTTCTTCTGTTACCCCCACCAGCTGAAGAGTTCAAGATGGCAAGTACTCTACCTTCTCTTCCTATTCTTTCACAACAGCAATCCATGGAAGTAGGTTGGGCTGAGGGAAAGAGACAGGCTCAAAGTCCTGTAGGAACTTTCAACGTTTGAAGGAAGACTAGACCCTGGTTTATATATTGCCATTCCAGCTCTTTGCCATTTGGCCAGATGGACTGTTGGGCTGTTTCTGGCAGAAGGAAGGACTGGCCTAGAGAGGGGTCAGCAACCTGCGGCTCCAGAGCCACATGCAGCTCTTTCGTCTCCCTGCTGTGGCTCCCTGTTGGCTGAACCACCACTGGCTGGCCCCGCCCCTCACCCTCCCCTCCCAGTCACTCCTCGCCTGGCCTGAGAAGGTACGGGTGACGGCGGGGGATGGAGACTTGCTCCATATTCCAGAGCAGGAGCAAAGCACCCCTGTACTTGCTGATTATATATAGTCAGATGCCACTGACTCTTTTTTATGGTTTTCTCATATATATATATGTATATATATATGAGAGAGAGAGAGAGAGAGAGACAGACAGACAGACAGACAGACAGACAGACAGACAGACAGACAGGCATACCTGTTTCCTACAGAAAGGAAAGCACTGGGAGCAACAGAACCTGGGTAGGCGTGGCTGGCGGTGTGTCATGTGACTGGGTGGGAGTGAGTGATGTCGCATTGGCCACGCCCACCCAGGTTTTGTGGCTCCCGGTGTTTTCTTTTCTGTGGGAAACTGATCCAAATGGCTCTTTGAGTATTTAAGGTTGCAGACCCCTGGCCTAGAGTCACCCCAAGACCATCTATGGCTAAGGTAAGCTAGAAACTGGATCTCCTCGCTTCTATTCCAACTCCTTTACCACTGCCTCAGATTGGTAGCCGGTTCCTCTAGGGACACCCAGACACTCCAGGTAGTCCTCGACTTAGGGCCACAAATGAGTGCAAAATTTTTGTTGTTCAGTGAGACAATTGTTAAGTGAATTTTGCCACAGTTCTTCCCATAGTTGTTCAGTGAATGACTGCAGTTGTTAAATGAGTAATATGTTTGTTAAGTGAATCTGGCTTCCCCATTGACTTTCCTTGTCAGAAGGCTGCAAAAGGGGATCACATCAGGGGTGAAATTCACTTACCTTTCCCTACCAGCTCACAAATGTGCGTCTCCTCCATGCATGCACAGAACCTTCTGCGCAGGGGTGAAATGTAAAATGTGTTACTACCGGTTCTGTGGGCGTGGCTTGGGGGGGTAATGTGACTGGGTAGGCGTGGCCAACTTTTTTTAAAAAAAACTTTTCAAATAATTTTTTCTAATGCTTTGAAAACCCTCTGGCGATCAGGCAACTCAGCTGGGATCGTCAGAGAGGTTTTTTTAAAAAATGCCACTCTGCTGATCAGGGAACTCAGCTGGGATCATCAGAGACTTTTCAAAGCAATTTTTTAACCACCTCTTCGGCCAAGAGGTTGCAGAAAAAAATTCTTTTAAAAGCCTTTGATGATCCCAGCTGAGCCACGTGATCATCAGAGGCTTTTTTTTTTTACTTTTAAAAGCATTTTTTCATCGGAAGAGGTTGTAGAAAAAATGCTTTTAAAAGTAAAAAAAAAAAGCCTCTGATGATTGTGCAACTCAGCTGAGCATGGTGGGGGGGGCGCAGGGATTTTTGCTACCGGTTCTCTGAACCACCCGCCTCCATTGCTACCGGATCAGGTGATCCGGTCTGAACCGGGAGCATTTCACCCCTGCTTCTGTGTATGTGCAGAGGGTAAAAAATGGGACGTGATGACATCCGGCTGGGTGGGCGGAGCCTCCCGCCACCAGCGCTACTGGATCATGTGATCTGGATAGATCCGGCTGAATTTCACCACTGGATCACATGATCCCAGGACACTGCAACCGTCATAAATGCATGTCAGTTGTCACGGGTCCAAAGTTTTGACCATGTCACCAGGAGGATGCTGCAATGGTTGTAAGTGGGAAAAACGGTCACAAGTCACAAGTCATTTTTTTTCAGTGGCTTATTAACTTGGAACGATCCCTAAAAGGTTATAAGTTGAGCACTACTTGTAATCAGTTCTTTTCACATTGTACCACAACTGAACTGTCATGAACTGAGAGGTTTGCTTAAAGAAAAAGGTAAAGGTTCCTCTCGCACATATGTGCTAGTCGTTCCCGACACTAGGGGGCGGTGCTCACCTCCGTTTCAAAGCCAAAGAGCCAGCTCTGTCCGAAGACGTCTTCGTGGTCATGTGGCCAGCATGACTAAACACCAAAGGGGCACGGAACGCGGTTACCTTCCCACCAAAGGTGGTCCCTATTTTTCTACTTGCATTTTTTACGTGCTTTCGAACTGCTAGGTTGGTATACCAAATTTGAACAGGAAGACAAAATGGATTGAGGGAGCATTGATTTGGGGGAAAGAGAAGGACTTCTTGCTGTGTCCTTTCTTATGGCAATCAACCTCTGTCCAAGATCTAAGACAGATACAATCAGATTGGTTGTAAAAACCAGCCAAATAAAAATCTGACTTGCCCCCCCCCCTTCGCCACACAGAGAGAATTCCTTTCTCCTTGCACAACTCAAGAAAATTGAGACCACACCCTATTGCTCACACAAAATAAGGCATCTCATTACAGTGCCATGAGCTGGATTCCTCCGATGCTTTTTTCATGCAGGACAAGGAGAAAGTTTCATGGCTTAAACTCTTGAGATTTCAGGAGAGCTGCCACAAAGAAGAAGAAATCTCTGCTTTTCTTGTGGGGGGTGGGGAGGCTGGCCAATCTGAGGAAAGGCCAAAGAAGCTTTGAAGAAGTTGGTGAGTAGAATTTCCCTTCTTACTGGTGGACGGACGCGAGTTTCGGAAGATGGAGAGATAGACTCTCTCGGTAGAGTTTTTCTTTAAAATATATAGATAGATAGATAGATTTGGAAGTATTCATTGTTTGCAGCCAGGAGAGATCGACCAGGTGCCAACTCTTTAACCCTGATCAGAGATTACTGGGAATATTTTCCTAGTACAAAATGAATTAAACATGATGTGTAGGTATAACCTCAGTGGATAATAAGATCATATTGCTTGTTCAAGCAACCAGCAGTCTGAGTAGGCATTTTCAGGACCAGAGGTAAAGACTACCCATAACAGATTCTTAATACTACTTAGGACCCCAAGACGAAATAGTTTGGTGGGTTCAGTTGCTGAACAGCAAATTAAAACACAACTTGCTTTGCAGAGTTGGCTTCAGATAAGAAACGTCAGGAAAAAGCAAGGTGCTTTAACGTCTGTAACCAGGAAGTGCCTCTCGCCTCGTCCTGCTGATCTCCTTAAGCCTCCTCAGTGCTCTAGTACCTTATGAATTTCAAAAACTGAGCTTAAAAGGGGCTTGGAGGCTGGGGGTTTAAGGAGCAATGAAGGCAATTCAGTTGTTGTTTCATCTCCTTGGCTTTTTACAGAATAGGAGGCCACTGAAGTTAAAACACTTTAAAGAACTGAAGCTAAGCACAAGGTTAGTTCTTCCACCAAGAGACAGAAGGAAAAGACAAAATGTCTCGATGTACAGAAATCAGGCTTAATTGTGCATCAGGCGTCTGAATGGCGACTTGGCCATCCGTCTTTCGGTGTTGGGTAGCAATTATCAGGTTCTCCATACAGCAAATTGCCTTTCTTTTAAAATTAGAAGCAGCCGTAGTAGTAGTAGTAAATTTAATGCTAGCCAGAATAAAAAGGACGTGTAAAGGACGTGTGTGACCTGATAGGAATGAAAAGCAGGCAGGCAAGCAGGTAGAAAAATCGACTTTAATTGTGCAGTCATCGGAATGGTTAACTTTCCATCAATCCCGTGGAGCTGAATGGCAATCATCAAGCTCTCCATTCAGCAAACTGCCTTCATTTTAAAATTAGTTGTAGTAGCAGTAGTAAATTTAATACCGGCACAGAGGGGAAAAAAGCAAAATGTGTGTGATCTTATGGAGATGGAAAGGGGGTAGGCAGAAAAACAAGGTACCTTCTATCATACTTGGTGGTTGTGCCCTGAAACGAAAAAATGCTGGAAGAAAATACACAGGTGGTTACAGGAATTAACAGGACTTCAGATGGAATACACTCCGGAACTATTTCTCCTAGGGATAATTAAAAGAAAATATGACAAAAGAATAATATATATCATTTTACATATAATAAACGCAGTAAGGATAGCTTTCGCGCAATGCTGGAGAAATATAAACATGCCTTCTGAAAGCTTAGTACTTAAAAAAATATTTGATTGTGCAGAAATGGACAAATTGACAATTGAACTGAAAGGACAAATAGATTCGGAATACTATGCAATATGGGAGAAGTGGTATGACTGGATTGAGAACAGAAAAATGGAAAAGAAATAGACGAAATAGAAGTAGAATTAAAATGTAAAAAAGTATAGAATGTATTTGAATTGGAATGTTATGGTATGTAAATGGTCACAGTTATGCATAAGATGTGAGTAAGATTTGTTTAATTGTAAAAATGCAACCCCAAAAAAAGAAGAAAAGGAAAGGAGGCAGGCAGGCACGGAGAAGAAGCAGTTAATTTTCTTTCTCCTTTTGCAGCCAATGTATATACTCTTGTAAATACCTTGGCTTTTGAAATGTACTGACTTGTAAAGGAAGGTAGCAACTAGACAAAGAGAGGAGAAAAAAAAATAAAAGCAGTTCCTGGAGTAGGAAACACAAAACGTGATATCCCAAAGCTTCTGCAATTTAATGAAGGTAGGGCGGCTGCTTTTCGGCACGGGGAGAAAAACGAGACGCTTTCTGCTGTACCTGACTTGCTGCAGGGAGCACCAGGGGGTGGACGGTAGTAAGAAGGAATGACTGAGAACTGTCAAATGGGGTGGTCATTGGCTTAAGTCAGAGGTCTTCAAACTTGGCAGCTTTAAGACTTGTGGACTTCAACTCTCAGAATTCTCAGACGTTGCAACCACCAAAACATTCTGCATAATTGTTTATTTAGCCTCTAAAATACACCCAGGAAATAACTTTTCAGAGAGAACTTGATGTGAGGACTGAAAATCACATGTAATAGAGTAAGATGAACTTGCAAGCTCAGGGGTTTCAAGGAAATGGGATCCTTTGAACTGAATTTTTGTACCATGCCATCCTAAACTGGCTTGTTTTGTCTTGGCTGTGAATGTCCTATGAAACCAACTATTACAAACGGGATTATTCAGTGGGAAGTGTCAACATCTGCAAAAATGGTAGGTTCAGCATCCTGATCAAAGCCCTACCCCAGAGGTCTTTAAACTTGGCAGCTTTTAGACTTGTGGACTTCAACTCTCCAGCCAGCTGTTGGTCCTAGCCAAGGGTGGGGAACCATTTGCGATGTAATTCAGTCACATTGGTTTTAGGTGGGCATTCAAAACGGGGGTCCCCAAGAGATTATTACTGTTCCAAAGAAAGTGCTTTTGCAAGTGTCGGAATTAAACCAGAGAGAGAAATTCATTGTTTGGTCAGTCCATAGGCACGAGATTCAGAAGGATTTCTTTTTTTTGAATGCTTCCCTCAATTTTTTTTAATTTTTATTTAAAACCTCCAGTGTTGGAGAATCCAAAGCTTTATTTATCGTTTTGGCTAAAGATTGTTAGCCAAAGTAGCCATAAAGAGAGGGAAATTCCAGACCGTTGAACTCCATGTGTGTGAGTTTTTCATTTGCAAGGAGACGGGTTGAAAATTAAAAGTTTACTTTAGCCTCCATTCGTGATGTCTCGGTGATATTTGCAATCATGGCAGTGACTCTCTGAAAGTTTGAGCAGAAGTCTCTGAGAAGGTCAGGGTGCCAGAACTTAACCTATCACCTTTGAGGTACAAGGCAGGTACAGCACCACTGAGCTAAGGCCTTTCAATTATTTTTTGTCTACGTCAGTAAATCTGGTGGCTGTTGCAGCAGCAGCATGTTGCATGGCTGGAAATGCTTCCAACAGCCACCCAGACAGGATCATTACTGCGGGGCCTCAGATAACAGATTAACAGAGTTGGAAGGGACCTTATAGGTCATCTAGTCCAACCCCCCGCTCAAGCAGGAGACCCTGCACCATTTCCGACAAATGGCAGTCCAGTCTCTTCTTGAAAGCCTCCAGTGATGAAGCTCCCACAACTTCCGAAGGCAACTTCTGTTCCATGGGTTGATTGTTCTCACTGTCAGAAAGTTCCTCCTCATTTCTAGGTTGAATCTCTCCTTGGTCAGTTTCCATCCATTGTTCCTTGTCTGGCCTTCAGGTGCTTTGGAAAACCCCCTCCTCTCTGTGTGAGCCCCTCAAGTATTGGAAGACTCCTCAACTTACAACCACAATCGGGGCCAGAATTTCCATTGCTAAGCAGGATGATAATTAAGTGAGTCTCGTCTACTTTTACAAAAAAAAAAAAAAAAAATGGCATGGTTATTAAGTGAATCACTGCAGTTGTTAATGACTTTTAAGCAAATACGGTTCTCCCATTGACTTACACTTATTGGACGCAGCTGGGAAGGTCTCAAAGGGCGAACCCATGACCCGAGGAAGCTGCAACCCTCATACATACATGCCAGTTGCCAGGCCCCCTAATTTTGATCACATGACCATGGGGATGCTGCAAGTGCAAGGACCTGTTGAAAGTCACTTTCTTTAGTACCATTGTAACTTCGAAAGGTCGCTAAGTGAATGGTTGTAAGTTGAGGACTACTTAGGTTGGTCACAAGGATCTGGGGGCTTGCTTCAGAACCTGACAATTTTTTTTGGCCTGCACTGTTGCCTGCATCTTGGTTTACTTCTTCAGTTTTTGGGATTTTTGGGGAAATTATAATCCGACTTCTGTTAGGGCCATAATTCAGTTTGTTCAAGAAATGCTCAGCGTTGCCAAAAAAAAAAAAACACACATACACACATCAGATTTAATATTATTGTATTAAGTCTCCATGAAAACTCAACTGCTGGTGAGTTAGAACATAGAATATAGAATAATAGGGTTGAGAGGGACCTTAGAGATCTTCTAGCCAACTCCCTGTTCAAGCAGGAGACCCCTATATTATTCTGGACAAATGGCATCCAGTCTCTTCTTCAAAACCTCCAGTGATGAAGCACCCAAAATTTCTGGAGGTAAGCCATTCCACTGAGTAATTGTTCTGTCAGGAAATTTCTCTTTAGTTTTAGGTTGGATCTCTCTTTAATGATCTTTCATCCATTACTTCATCTCCTGCCCTCTGGTGCTTTGGAGAATAGATCAGGCCAGTGATCTGTGAATTCAATTTTTTTTTACTACTGGTTCTGTGAACGTGGTTTGATGGGCGTGGCAGAGGAAGGATACTGCAAAATCCCCATTCCCTCCCCACTCTGCGGCTCAGCTGGGATCGTCAGAGCCTTTTAAAAGCTTTATTTTTTTACAGCTTCTTCGGCTGAAGAGGTTGTAGAAAACATGCTTTCAAAAGTTAAAAAAAAAAAAAAAGTTGGCCACGCCCACCCAGTCACATTACCCCAAAATAAGCCAGGCCCACAGAACCGGTAGTAATGAATTTTACATTTCACCACTGGTATTATACATGTGCATTTGGCCATTCCGCCTACATTGATATCATCTGCATCATTTACATGGATCCATGCATGTAGGTTTATTGACAGAAACACTAGAAATTACCTTCTTTGAGGTTACTTTTTCAACTTCCTAGTTTGGCATACAAATCTATACATCCCAAAGGGTTCCCTGACTAAAACCTAATCAGGATCTGCTTTGTTTAGCTTCCAAGAGCAGTCAACATTGGATACGTTCTGATTCAAACAACATACAATGCCTAAATAAAGACATACAAGCCATGGT